TGTAAGGTAGAGCTGTTTAATGTCAGAGCAATCGCATATCCATAGAAACCCCGACTAAAAAGTTACCTAGTGTGTCTTTAAACAGTCCCGTCCATTCTCATTCAAACATCTGGCACATTCACATTTAAAGAGACAGTACACAGAGCTACACAGAGACAGCGTTACCAAAGCACTGGGCTGTTGCTGCACACAAGATCGAGTCATACCCATAATGAGATGAAGCATGCCAACAGTAATTGAATTCTCAGAGCTATTTTTAGAGTTCAGACTGGACTTCTGTGGTCGGCTGTGGACTGAAGGCCAGAGTGTCCAGATTTTGAGTTTTTTCGTCCAAGTGTAATTCCTCATTTTTAAACTATTCACAACAAGTACAAGCACAGCAGGAGATGACTGCCCAAGTACGGATGAAAGTCAAGCAGTCAGTGTGTAATCGCCTGTACAAGGGATTATTTTCATTTATTCATTTGACTGTCTACTATCTGTCTATTTAAGGAAGGCTGCGTCAAAGGTTCAAAGCAACTTCTCAATGTGAGTTAACTGTAAGGGTCCTCATTTGATCCTGGTTTGAGTTGAGTTTAGTTCTGATGTAGAGTTCGTTTGGTCTTGATTTAGTCTTGGTTCAGTTGAGGTAAATTTCCAGTTTAATCCCAGTTTGTGTGAAAGTGTGAATGCAGTCTCTCTACAAAATTGTCTAATGCCAGTTTGTATTCATGTTAAAATGTTGTTACCTCATCAAAAACAAACCTGGAGTTGTGTTTTATTTCATTCACACATTTGAGTAATCCTTTGTTATTAGCCTGTCTACATCAGTATTTCCCAAACTTTTTTTCTGGGGACCCATATTTTAAGAGTCACAAACCTTTGCAACCCAAGTCAATAGATATTATTCATAAATCACAAAATAAATGTGGATTTGATCATTATTGAACATTAATGAGGATATTTCATTGTTGACTGAGTGATTGTTTCTCTCTGAAGTTTTACACAATGAAAAACAGTAATTGAACCAGGAATAAAAGGATCCATATGACGCCTATTTGGACATTAAATGCTTCCCATTTCTTTTTCTTTTCAACATTCAATTGAACAAGCAATGTTGGAACAAAATACTCAATAAAATAATTACAAAAAGATTAGAAATTATACAAAACATGTCAATATTTCTAATGAGATAGGTGGGCCTGTCTGCTTTTTTGTAGAGCATTCCAGTTCATGGTGCAGGAGGAGAGCGTAACAAGCATATCAGGCGGCCCAAAAAAAATCTTGTGACCCACCTGAGGGTCGCAAAAGCCTTTGGGAAACAGTGTTCTACATCTCCAAAGCTGGAAATGCTGTGTTCATCCTTGTGATGTCATGAAGTGGCAGTTTTCAAGTTAACAGCTACATTTTACCTTTTGTTCAGTAGAGATTGTCAAATGGTTTCAGTGAAGGTGTGTGGAGTTTAAAAACACAGTGGAGAAGTTCTTGTATCACCACATGACATCACATATGCGGGATTTATGTGGAAAGAAACAACATTATAACATAGATTAGAACATGTTTTTAAATATAGTGAACATTGCTAAAAGGTTTAGTAGAAAATGAAAATGTCATGAATAGATTTTTGAAACCAAAGCCTCCATAAGAACCTTCTATAAATACAACCAACAAAACAACAGTGAAAAAGATGCACTGTGTAACCTTTTTGTTGGGAAGCTGCTACTGCCTTGTCTCTGTGGAGATTTTATTGCTTTTTTTTATACCGTATGACATTGGGACTTCTTATCTTGCTGTTACAGTTACAGACGTTTTTGTTGGTAAAAATACCTGGAAAAACAAGCATTCTTACTGTGAGCAAGAAAGCCTTTCCATAGATCTGACTTGTAGCTTGGCGTGGTTGCATCGTCTCCATGGAGAGTGTTAAGTTTAATGCATAGACTGTTTATATGCTGCCTCCATCCAATTCATTTTGTATTGAAAAAACATCAGTGCTTTGTCTGGAATATTTCAGTTTGGTATTAAACCTTTCTATCTTCATGGACAGACCAAGGTCATATCTGTGTTTTTTTTAGTTATTTTGGAGTTATAACCAATGGTGTAGTGGGGATTTTTTAAGTGGGGGTGCGCAATTCGTGACATCATCGATGACGTCCCCACTCATTTCCGAATTGGATATTTTGCCAACATTGGCCAAGATAGAGAATGTAATACACGAAGATCAGAGCAAATACCAGTGTGCTCCACAGTGAGTCAAAATTGGGGGGGGGTGTTCCCGGTGTTCCCCATGTTTACGTAGCAACCAGCATTTGTTATTTTAGGCTATTAATTAACCAAATAATTTTATGGCAATAGGCAATAGCCTCGTCAATTTATCAATTTCAAAAATCCCCTGCTTTTAGCCTAGTGTGAGAAATGCTACAGTCGGTTTAGATACAAACCAGACTCTTGCAGCTCCGGTTCAGGCCGGGCTCAGAGGAGCTGGAGCCTAGTTTGGTCCTGTTAAGTGCCTCTGCCTGAGAAGCACTTTTCCAGAGAAGACCCAAGTGCAGGGAGGACAGACTGCTCAGAATAATATATAACCAACCAATAGGACTTACGCTTCTTTGCACCACCTCAGAACCAGCTGCAGCCCTCGAGCACAGAGGATGGGAGCAGCCCTTCCAGACCTTTAGTCCTAGTTTAGTCCTGGTTTAGTCCTGGTTTAGTCCTGGTCCCTCATGTCTCAGGTCACTATAGGACAGTACTGCAGATTTCATGAGCCTGTGCAGGTTGTTTTCACCGTTGCCTATATCTCCAGTTTGACATTTAAGTTGTAGCTATTTTATATTTGTTATTTTTTTATATATCTCGTCGGGAGAAGTACTACACCCCTGGTTATAACATCACCTGTAAATGTAAGGTAGCACTGTTTAATGTCACACTGTGTAACATTCCCAGCAAATAAATGGCATGTCCATAGAAACCAGCAGTGACGGACCCCCTACCAAGAAGTTACACAGTAAACTTTAAATACAGTCAAATCTGAACTTCCTAAATATCCTAAGTTGACCTTTAATGAATACTCATCATCTGTGCCTAATAAAGTGTCCGCTAAAGTCCACGCTAATGGCTTGTCTCTATTTTCAAACACACATTTCCTTCGCGGCCGCTAACGGAAATGTTCATAAATCGCATCATTACCAGTGGAGCTCGCACAATCTGCCCCACACAATCCGAATCAGCGCAATTATGAAACCATGCTAGCTAAATGATGCTTCAACGTGCCCGATGTGTACATTTTCTGGCTAATTGAACCGATTGTTAATGCCATGTTTTGCGTTTAGCATTCACTACAGAACCAATTAAAGTGTGTATGACAGCTTTTTGTGTTTTTCTAATTATTACTCAGTTTAGTGGGATTGTACCTGTAAATATAGAACCAAATGCTGATTATAGTTTTGGCTCTGTGTTTTATTTAATGGGCCCATGTTATGCTTTTTCAAATTTGTATTATGACAATGTTTCTTCATTAAAAACATACCCAGAATTTTTTTTAACGCTTCCTATTTAGTGCATTTTTCTTCGCCTGAATTTTTTTCTAAATTTTGCTATTAAAACTCCCTGTTTTACCTCCTAATGAAGTGTTATACATCCTTTTTCAGTACAACCTGTTATTTCACAATCTGCATGCTGTAATTGTGTCATAGGGCTGTAATAAAAGCTATAGGACCAGAGATACAAATGGAAAAATAAATTAAAAAAGGAAAATAAAATACACACTCTTTCGTATAAAACATACAGCAAACAACTTAATAATAAATAAACTACTTTTTGCACATAAAAAATGTTTAAGTTAGGGCCTTAGCTACAAAATTCCTAAATATCAAGACTGTAAGTAAACAAAAAATATCCTTAATGCCCCATGATTTTACTGGTGTCAGTGAAGATAACAGCTCGTGTCAGGTCCAGGGCACAGAGCCACATCACTTCCTATATTTCCATGCTGTATATTACTTTTGTATTTGTACATTGTAAGTGAAATAAACCTTTCAAATAAAAATAGCAAGCGATGCGCAATTATGCAGACCAAGATGCATAATTTGCCATTTATTTGAGAAGTAACTGCACTTAGAGCGGCTTTTTCAGTTGTTAAGAACACAGACGCTCAGAGCAGTCGATCATCTTGACTCACTACACTCTTTGGCAAAGTTTGGCCCAATCAGAATGGATGGAGCGCAGGCGTTTGGCGGAAGACAAAGTTCCTATTGGACACCGTCAGTCTAGAAGGGTTAATGCACAAATCCTGCATATTTAGGATAAGTTCCTCTCTCAAACTGAAAACACTCTGTTAAATATGGTGCTCCACTGTGTTTTTATACTCCATGCACTTTCACTGGAATAATTTTGATGATTTCAGCTCTGGAAATGCCGATCTCTCCATAACAAAAAGTAAAAGGTAGATGTTGAAAAATACTACTACATGACATCACAAGGTGGAACAGAGCATTTTGAGCTTTGGAGATATAGACAGACAAATAAAAAAATACTCAAACATGTGTGAATGAAACAAAACACAACTCGTATGTTTTTGACGAGATAACAGCCTTATAACATGGCTTAAAGCTCACAAGAGTCAATTCTGTGTAATATAGGACCTTTAAGTTTTCTGATGAGGGGTCTGCTGGTCTCCTTGCTTTGCCTGGAATCTTCCACAATGTGGCATTAATCTTATCTTCCTGCATATATAGAATTATAGGTGTTTTCATTGCTCAAGAACATCTTTCATCCTTATTTTATCCATTCTTTTGTTCTTACTGTGAGGGGATCATCTCGAACACTGCTCCTCCATAAGTATAGAGTTTAATGCCATATTGATGATGTATGATTATGTTAACTGACCAAAGAAAATAAACTAACTAACTAACTGTGGAACATTTCAGGCAAAGCAAGCAAAATGATTCTTTAACAGGGTTGACGTGTGTGTTTGCCGGGTAATTGATCTGGTTGCTAATGTCATGTTTTGTGTTTGTTTTCATGTACAGAAGCGATTGAAGGCGGCCTTGCATCACTCCTCCTCCTCTTCCTCCTCCACCACCTCCTCCTCCTCTCCGGAAGACTCCCAATCGGCTGCTTTGATTCACTCCAGGCAACAACATAAGCAGCTACACCCCGAGAACTCTGCTCCACCTCCCCTCCTCCTCCCCACTCCCCACTCTCTCCCGTGCCCATCTTCCTCTCCTCCTCTCTTCTCTGTTTTCCCTCTCTCCCCTGTCTGCACCTCCTCCCCTCTATTTCTCCTCCTCCCTGCTCTCTTCCCCTCGTTCTCTCCTCCTCCTCCTCTCTTTCCTTCTCTCCTCTCCCTGCCCCATGCCCACCCACCCAATCTGCACTGAGGCTGCCGTGTTACTGTGTCATTTTGTCATTTTCTTTCCCAAATTCTGTGTTCCTGGTGAATGCTCCTTGTTCTTTCTCTTCGAGCGATTTTCTGTGTGTAAGGCTGTGCGGCGCCATTATTTTCACAATTTCTTTCAATTTTTATTTTTTTTTTAAAGATTCTGTTTGTGGATTTCTTCAAAGAATGTAAATTCCTGTACACTTTTTAAAGGCCTGTATAAGAAATCTACAATTATGCGTGTGCCCTGGCTGAGCATGCCAAGTTTTATTTTTTTAAGTTTTACTTTTCTGTGCGCTGTGTGGATAAGAAGGCCTTAGTTTGAGAAAAATAACTTCACTGCTGTAAACCGGACCTGTTGACATTTAAAACTAAAAACATTTCAGGCTTTATTTAGTGAACTATACTGAATCTTCTGCTCATGTTTTATTTCTTACACTTGTATATGGCTTGTCACCATGGTGAATAAAAACATAATAATAATAATTTTTTTGACACATAGAACACACTATGCGTACACGGGTTGCTATGCCGGTATGTTTGAACTTAAGAAAATAATTGTAAGATGATTTCATTTTGTTACACACTACGTAATTTCATCTGAAGCCACTCTAGGTCATCCTCTTAAGTTTTGTTGTTTTATTTTGAAAGCTTTACTGATGCCATGTTTGATTTGATTGTTTTGTCTTTAATTTTTGATGTATTTATAATGTGGATGGCTGTGCTGCACCATGTTTAATAATTCTTTTTTTTTTTTTGCATCAAGTGTTGCGTAGGTACTGTACTGATCCACTAAAGACAGTATCTGTAGTGTCCAGGCTCAAACTCTGCTGTATTAAATGATTATTGTTATTAGTAGGTCTTGTTGGTTTTGATTGGACATAAGGAAAAGAAATGACTCCGTTTCCCACAATGCAACGCTACAGACAGATGAGTGACAGAGGACAGTTCGCGCATTACACATTAAAGCTGCAATATGTAATTACACTTGTTTTTACACGGATCTGGTCTAAAAAAAATCTACATTTTAATTTCCAACCAGACAAATATGTTTAAACCAACTTAGGGAAATGTTAAATAATCTCCATGGAGACGAGTAGGTGGTCTGACCTCAACAAGAAAAGTTACACCGTGCATCTTTAAAGGGATAGTTAATATTTGTTATTACTGAAATGTTTAGTTTACTTAAAGGATTCCAACCAGTATTTACAATTAAATAAATAAATATTGAGCCATCTCCTTTAAAGCTGCACTATGTAACATTTCTGGTGTAGCTATTCCTTGCCTGGAATATCCCACAGTATCGCATTAAACTTGCGTATCTTGCATTTATAACACATATTTTGAATGCTCGTAATTACACTGAAAAAGTCGCATTCTTACTGTGAATCGTCTCCATATATATTTACCAGTGGCTTGTCTTTGCTTGTCTTTAGTTTAATGCTGTACGGCGGGACATTCCAGACCAAGCAATAGCATCTCCATGGAAACAAGCAGACAAGCAGACCGACTCTCCACACTGCGGCTTTAAGAAATTGTGCAGATATTTATGTCTGAGCGTTACAGTGTCAGACTATAGAAGCTATTTTGGAAGTTGAATTGTATGTGCACGTAATATAACACGGCACACCACTTGTCACGGACTTGAAAAGCTGTTAAAATACTTAACAAGAAGGAGCACGCGCCATGTACAATTCCAACTCTCTGTCTCCTGCTATGTCTCTTTTACACCCACTAAACCTGTCCTCAGAAGGACTGTACATGAAATGAAGCGTACCGTGAGTGCGGAGACAGAGGAGCGCGAGCACAACCGAGAGCTGTAGGTCATTCTGCGTCATTGTCCGTTGCGTCTTTTGTTCATTTTTGCGAATAATCAGGTCAGCAGTGAAACCAAAGAGGGTAAGATGAGAAGGCCATAGTAGTGTTGTAAATACAGACTTTTGTTTTTGTACTGTTGTTGACAATAAAGTGTACATTTTGAAAAAAAAAAAAAAAGTGATGTGAGTGTGATTCTTCTTTTCCCATATTGATTACGCTGTACTTTGTCAAGAAATATCCAAATGTTGAATCTGGTATTTTGACTAAACTCAAGAACTCACTGTGTTACAACATCATTTGGCATTTTAACAATATTAATTTTTTTTGCCCCATTTGTATTCATTAATATTGGCCTATAGAAAGCTGTGGTGTCATCTGAAACCCAACTGTAGAATAAAACATTGAATGATACAATAATAAACATGAAAACAAAACATAAAACAGATGTTAGACTTAGACCAATTTTACTGATCCACAAGGGAAATTACTTGGACAGAGCAGCTCACAATATATTATAATAACAAAGACCAAACATGAATGATAATAAATTCTAAATAAGTATCAAAAAAGGTAACAAGACTGGTGTCAATAAGGCGTAATTATATAAATATATATGTACAAGTCAAAATAAAATAGAAAATAAGTAATAAAAATATCTCTGTTATACAAGAAGTCGAAAGGAAAGCTTACAGCCCCTTAACCTGCACAGCTTCCCCCAAACACACAAAAAATGTAAACATGGCATAAGAAAGACAACAAAAAACACATAAACATGTTTCTGATTAGGTAACATGGCTTACAACTCACAAGAATCCATTTTGTATAAATTAGGACATTCAAGGTTAGGTTAGGCAGGGAAATGTTTTTGGGTGGTTAACAAGTAACTTTAAAAAACACATTTCTCGTCTACTAGCCTTCTCTCAACTTACACCATAAGTTGAGATCAATAAAGTTTGTCTAAGTCTAAAAATGCCAAAAGATAACACTTCAGGGATGTTCATAGCAACAGAAGCAGAAGAAGAATATGATAACTGGACCTGACCATCTACCATAATTCTTCCGCCTCTCCTGCTCCAGACCTGAGGCTGTGTCATGAGTCAGGACTTGTGCTATTATAGACGTGACCTGAGGTTTCAAATTCTTCATTTATCAGTTTGTCATTCATGTTTCAATGAGATCTGGCCTCAAGGAAAATGGATCAGTATAACAGCACATAAGCCTAATATTTGTGGACACGCCCTTTTCTATTCAGAACACACACTTAAAAGTGCAAGGTTCTGGTGTCAAAGGCAGGTGACGCACAATTTATACACGTGACTATTTTAGGTTTCTTTGTTTTATCCTAGAACTAAAAATAGAACTCAACAAAATTGGTTTTGTTGTAAAGTACAGTCAATATGCACCTTATAACAACTACACTATTTACTATGGTTAAGATCCTCTTCATTTGACTCACCCCTGGGGGATCTGCTCAGGAGCAGTGGGCGCTGCAGCACAGTGCTCAGGGACCCATCTCCATGATCTTGTTGCTAGGTTTGGTCAGGACTCAGCTGGAGGATTGTCTCTATGATGCAGGTTTTGGGTTGATGGGGGAAACCAGAGAGCCCAGAGGAAACCACCTAGACACAGGGAGAATATGCGAACTCCACACAGGGAGGTCCAGGCGATCTGGGGATTAAACCTGCAACCTTCTTGCAGTGAAGTGTGAATGTTAGCCACTCAACCATGCTGCTGCTTCAGGATTTCATTAAGAGTTTGGATTTAGGATACTTATTCTGAAGTTTCTAAGCCTCAAGTTTAAGAAATTATTTGTTCAAGATCAAGTCTTTCTTTGAGCTTTATGAAGGGTATATAAAATATATTTATATGAGGTATATTTATTAAGGATATATAAGGTATATTTATATAAGGCGTATTTATATAAGGTGTATTTACTGCAAGTATATAAAGTGTATTTATTAAGAGTATAAGGTGTATTTGTTAAGGGTATATAAGGTATATAAGGTGCATTTAGGTCTTATTTAGGATTTCATAAAATACTACATGAATAATTCATGTCCAGGTTGTGTTGTGTAACGTGTGCATGACACAGACGTTGACTGAGAGAGAGAGAGCTCCAGATGTGTTTGTGATCACAGGGCAGCAACTATAAAGTCTCACAGTCAGTTAAACGTAATAAGGGACCTTTAATACTCTATTCATAGTTTATCGACAGGAAAATCAAAGTCCTTTTTGTGTTCTTCTAAAAGTGACCATTGTCTGTGGACTGTGCTCAGCCAGAGGAATGGAAGTCCTGTATTTTGTCTGAAATTGTGTTTGGATCTATTTTCATTGTGCCCCCGATGTCCAAGACAAATTTCTCCATTTGAAGACAATTACAAAAACTCCACAACATACTTTTGAAGTAGTTTATGGAATATAGCACCATCTTTTGGTGAAATGAAACTGTCAGACAAAGTGGAGTTGGTCCATTTGGCTCATGGAAAAGTGTTAGATCAGACTGAAGAGGATTGGACAGTGGTCAAAAGTGATAATAAAAAAGAGCCCATTTTGAATCTCAGGACACAGCCTTTTGATGCGTCTTATACAGAAGTCATCTCCTAAATTGGGTGTAATATAGTGCTAATGTGAGTCTGTGCTAATGGGAGTCTGGGCCGGAGATGTACACTGTGGATTTACTGCAGGTCTGTCCAGCCAAATGACCCATGTCCATAATGCACCTCCCCCCTCCTCTTCTCTCATCATTAAAGAAGCCAGAGAATAAGTAGAGAATGGGCCAATCACTGCCAAAGGGACTGAAGAGGTGAAGAAGTGTCTCCTCGCAGATATATTATTATCTTAAAGTCTTGATCTCAGAATGAACCGTGAACCACAGTGTTTACAATTCTTAACTCAATTTCCATAATAAGGAATGGTAAATGTTTTCTTTACATAGTGCTTTTCCACCATCGAGGCACTCAAAGTGCTTTACATCAAGAAACCACTCACCCATTCACACACACACTCAAGCATCAGTGTACGCACTGATACACCACGGGCAAGGAGGGTTAAGTGTCTTACCCAAGGACACAATTCATCTGTGGGAGCTGGAATCGCACCGGCAGCTTGTGGTTCAGTGGATCTAACCACTCTACCAGTGATGTTCACGTCAAGAGCGGGATTCGAACTGCCAACCTTTGGATCAGTGGACAAACACAACAAAAAAATTTATCCAAAGATGTTCATTTTGTCTTCTTATGTATTTTACCTTCTTGGGTTCTTTTTAAGGACAATACAGTAAAATGTATTTACCTTGTTGACATCTTTTGGCTGCTAGCTGCAAGCCATGTTCAGAACTGTCTCCGGTGTTGGTGGTGATGTGTCGTATATCAACTGTTGTTACTTCCTCTAGATGTGGTCAGTCTGATGGACCTGGCAGGTCGCTCAGACAATTCAATGAAAATCGTGCAATAAATCATACATAGGGGAAACGGGACGGGCATTCCACATCTGAAAAAAGGAACACCAAAAGGAATGTGAAAAGGAAACATCAGGGAGACTCACCAGAACACAAAAAGACAAAGCAGAACAGGAAAACCTAAAATCCGCCATATTGGACCACTGAAAAAGAAAGAACCACCTTATGGATTGGGACGGGGCTTGGGTCATTGGATCGGAAAACAACAAAGTTCAAACACTGGATCAGGGAGGACACTGAAATCAGGAAACATGATGTGATGATGGAGTGTTCCTCCTTTCACACACCTGAGACGCCCTCCTCCAGAGAACACCGGGCGACAGGAGGTGTGGTCAGTCTGAGCGACCTGCCAGGTCCATCAGGCTGACCACGCCTACAGGAAGTAACAACAGCTGATATACGACACGTCACCACCAACACCGGGGACGGTTCTGAAGATGGCTTACAGCCGAAACATGTGAACAAGGCAAATACACTTTAATGTATTGTCTTTAAAAAGAACCCAAGAAGGTAAACAACAAAACAATGATCATTAAAAACACTGTTTTTATTAGACAATAGAACATAATTTTCAACACAAAACACTAAATTTTTTTTTCTTCTGTGTTACCATATGGTCTTATAACAGTTCTGACGAAGCTCAAAATTATTCTAAAACTGGAAAAGTCACTTTTTTCTGTACATGATATATGTATATATTTTGGTATATGGTCACATTTTTATATAGCCCTTTTCAGCTTCAAGGCACTCAAAGCAATTTCCATCAAGGAACCACTCACCCACTCACACACATTCATACACCAGAGGACACAGACACTGGGGGCGAGGTAAGTGTCTTGCCCAACGACAACACTCATCCATTGGAGCTGCAGTGGCACCACTAACCTATGGGCCAGTGGATCTCAAACAATGTTATTTTTTGTGTAGGTAACCTTTGGATCAATGGACAAATACTCTCCCAACTGAGCCACCATTGCCTCTTTTTAGTATCGATACTTGGACAAATGGGTGTCTAGTTTCACTTTAAGTTTTAGTAGTTTTAGTTTTCATATGCTATCTGATTTTCAACATACTTTTGACTACACTACTCCCATCTAAGATCAGTGACTCATAAAATGCATCTTGTATAACTTGTATCTTGTATATTTCAATCTCTCACCTTATATTTGTCCTCTTTTTCCCCTCTGGCTGCAGACTCGTGAGCTTGTGATTTATGCGCTGAAGTTGGATCAGATGTCTGTTCGTGGCCTGCTCATTGGGTTTTGAGTTGCAGCCGTTCAACAGTGTCACATTTTACAGTGCAGCAGGTGAAGCAGGTGTGATCCTGTTTCAGTGATCTGTGCCTCACTCACTTCCTGCTTCATTAGTCACGCTGAGAGGCTGTGGACCTGTGTACTCCAAATACTGTGTTGTGTAGTGCAGAGCCAAAATTGTACTCAAGCATTCATTTATTTTTATTTCATCACTGTATAACGCACTACAATGTACATATGTTAGTTTCAGTATAAAATTAATAAAACTAAAACTTTCTAGAACAAATAAGCTGGAATTCTGATTTATGTTTTTTTTTTTTTTTTTGCTTTATTCTGCCTATATACCCCTTAAAATTATGCTCAGGAATTTAAAGATGAATTGTGTAACTTTTCTGATAGAGGGTTTCCTTGTCTCTATGGAGAATATTCCACAGTATGGCATTAAACTTCTATCAT